CTGTCTCCTTCTCCCTGTAACTCTGACCTTCAAATAAATCAATCAGCCTTTTATTTAAGAAAATAGTAAGGATATAAAACAATGGTTATAACATAAGGTGTGAAGTCACTGCTGCTTTCTAAGCTAATGAATCTAAGTTGATGTTCTTATCTGATTTGCTATAATCAATCCACAGTATGACAAAGCTATCCCACTTCTGGGGATATATCCAAAGGAAATAAAGTCTACATATGAGAAGGTGACCTGTAATCCTATTTTTACAGTCACATAATTTACAATAGCAAAGAAAGGGAGAGAACCCAGATGCCCATCAAAATAGGAATGGATAAAAAAAGAGCTGTGGTACATCTACTATGGAATACTAGCCATTAAAAAAGAATGAATTTCTACCATTTGCAACAAAATAGAGTGAAACAAGCCAACCACCAAAGGACAAAGACGATATGTTCCTTTTGAAATAAGGCAACCTCCATGTATAACATACCAATAGATACACAGGTAAACATGGATACACATATGTTCACCTAGAGGAGCTGTATAATGCAGACCAGCATACTGAGCTGTGTGGATACGCTGCAGTACGCATCACTACTCCCAGATAAAAGAATGACACCCAAAGAAACTGTTCAATATATCTCAACAATAGGATGCTGGACTTTCTGCCATTGTTGATACCTACAGTGTCCTGATGTTCTTAAACAGCAGAATGGTGGATTTGTGACTATTGTTGTACAGGAGAAAACAGTGGGGGTAGGAGAAGTGGAGAGGGTGCAAGGGGAAATCCCTGAGCCTATGCAACTGTATTATAAAAAAGTAAAAAAAAAAAAAAATTAAATCTCAGGAACAAAAAAATCCTAAATAGAATAATGCATGTAAAACATCCAGCACAGAGTCTTGCACATGGCAGATTAAAGTAAAATGCGCCACGAAGGTTAAATCTGTTATCTACTTTTTTAAAGATTCAGGCAGATTAACAGAGAGAAAGATCTTCTATCCATTGGTTCACTCCCCAAATGGTTGCAACTGCCACAGCAGAAACAGCTGAGCTGATCTGAAACCAGGGGCCTCCCACAGGGTACAGGGTCCCAAGGCCAGGCCCTCACTGTTCTCCTAGGCCGTCAGAGAGAAGGGAACTGGACTGGAAACAGAACAGCCAGGATACCAACCAAAGCTCATATGGGATGTCAGTGCTGCAAGGCGAGGATTAGCCTGCTGAACTATCACGGCGCCCCATTGGTTACCTACTTTTTTTTAAAAAAAGTTATTTATTTATTGGAAGGTCAGAGTTACAGGGAGAGGGAGAGGTGGCCAGTGTGGTGGCATAGCACACCAACCCCCTACCTATGGCATTGGCATCCCATATGGCGCCACTTTGTGTCCTGGCTGCCCCACTTCTGATCAAGCTCTCTTCTTATGGCCTAGACAATCAGTGGAGGATGACTCATGTCTTTGGACCTTGAACCCATATGGGAGATCTGGAGCAACCTCCCGGCTCTGGATTAATTCAGCTCCAGCCGTTGCACCCATTTAGGGAGTAAACTGCAGATGGAAGATCTTTCTGTTTATCCTTCTCTCTGTAAGTCTGCTTTTCAAATAAAAGTAAATAAATCTTTTTAAAAAGAAGAGGGAGGGATAGAGAAATCCATTCCAACTGCTGGTTCACTGGCAGACAGCCACAAAAGCAAGGCAGGCCAAAGCCAAAGCCAGGAGCTTCATCAGGTCTCCACATGGTGACAGGGGCCCACGTACTTGGACCATCTTCTGCTGCTTTTCCACGGCCATTAGCTGTGTGAACTGGATCAGAAATAAGAGCAGGATGGGTTTGGGGTCCCCCGCCTGGATCCTTTTCAGCAGCATGTGCAGTTCTGCGGGGTCTGGGGTCCCTTGCCTGGGCCCAGGTGGTCCGGGGAACCTTGCTGCTGGCGAAGCCCACGGGCTGCCCAGCTGTGCCCTCTGAGTGCTTGAGGTTCTGCACTCACAGGTGGTTTGGGTTAAGGCACTGGTGGGGGCCTGCAGGGACTTGAGGGCCCCCCTCCAGGCGAGGAATGACTGCTGAGGGACCTTCCTGGACAGGTCCCCGGCCTGCAAATCAGAGCCTCCTCAGGGGTTCAGGTGGAGCAAAGCACAGCATAACCAGAAGCAAAACAAAGTTATGGGCCACTAGTGGGTCCTCGGCCACATTAGCCACGCCAAACAGGATCCACATCTCCCCCCGCCAGCAGCATGTGAGGGTGGCTGGGGGGAGGGGAGGCAGCCTAGGCTCACATCCAGCCAGATGCCCAGAGGCACTGGGAGGTCCTTGGGTCGTGCAAGGTGTGCCAAACAGCAGCTCCATCCCCCACCAGCAGCAGGCAGTAGTGGCTGGGGTGGGGAGGGGAGGCAGTGTAGAGCAGCGACCTTTCCCCTGCCAGTGGCCAAGATGCTCTGGTGGGTCCTTGGGTTGCACTAGGGTACCTGGAGGTATGGACCTATAAGACGTCTGACAGAACAAACTGGACAGCAACCCCAGCCAGATGATGACAGCAAATATCCGGGCAAATGAAGACTCCGAGGCCAACTATGTCAGCCAATGGAACTGAAACGGGTCCCTCCTCCCGGGAGCGACAAGATCGACAACATTTCAGATCTTTCGCAATCACCTGGGGAGAACCCTCAAAGCAAGCGCCACACTGGAACCCTGGCTTCATACCGGGTAGACATTCTCAATCTCCGGTACTGGAGGGGTTGGGAGGCTGCGTACGGCTGCTTCTCTTATCCCTCCTCAACCCCCGCGCCCGAAACAAGAAACACAGAAAATTTGGAAACAACAGAGCAGGGACATGAACCGGCACTGAGACAAGAAGACGCATTCATTTGGGATGCAGTGTTACCCACTATGCTGCAATGCTGGTCACTGATGCATACGTTAATTTAAAATTTTAATTTATTTTTATTGGAAAGTCAGAGTTACAGAGAGAAGGAAAGAGAAAGATCTTATGCCTGTTGGTTCACTCCCCTAAGCGGATGTAATGGCTGGAGGTGAGCTGATCCGAAGCCAGGAGCTTCTTCTGGGTCTCCGACGTGGCTGCAGGGTCTCAAGGCTATGGGTCGTACTGCTTTCCCGGGCCACAGGCAGGGAGCAGCATGGCAAGTGGAGCACCCACAAGGGATCCCAGCACATACAAGGTAAGGACATCAGCCACTATCATGCCAGGCACAATGATGCATACTTCCTAAAGTAAATTTTCTACATTAAATAATCCATAATGCAGTTAACATAGAAAAAACAGTAAGAACAGATTTATTGGTGGAAATGACTTAGATAAGGGATTAGGTAGGATAGATGAACAAAAAGGAAATAAAGAAAAGATGTGACTACTGGGATAAGAGGAGCTCAAAGGTGGAAGACAGGCAACTTGGGAAGGTGAAAAAAAAATAAAGTAACTGGGCTGACATGGTAACACAGTGGATTAGGCTGCTACTTGTGGTACCAGCATGTCATACGAGTGCCCTATTTTTTTTAAGATTTATTTATTTTTGTTGCAAAGTCAGATATACAGAGAGGAGGAGAAACAGAGAGGAAGATCTTTCATCCGATGATTCGCTCCCCAAGTGACCACTGCAGCCAGTGCTGCGCTGATCCAGAGCCAGGAGCCAGGAACTTCCTCCACGTCTCCCATGCGGCTGCAGCATCCCAAGGCTTTGGGCCATCCTCGACTGCTTTCCCAGGACACGGGCAGGGAGCTGGATGGGAAGCAAGGCTGCCGGGACATGAACCAGTAATATGGGATCCTGGTGTGTTGAAGGCAAGAACTTTAGCCGTGAGGCCACTGCACCACGCCCGTGAGTGCCAGTTTGAGTCCTGGTTGCCCTACTTCCCATCCAGCTTCCCACTAATACACCTGGGAAAACAATGGCAGATGGCACAAGTACTTGGGCCCTGTACCCACTGGGGAGACCCAGATGGTATTCTAGAGTCCTGGGCTCCTGTTTTTGCTTGCACCTGGCCATGTGGCCATCCAGGGAGTGAAACACAGGACAATGGAAGTACTCTCTCTCTCGCTCTCACAGGTCCTCTCTTTCTCTGTCACTCATTTTTCAAACAAATAACCTTTATGAGAAAAAAAAATCCCACAAAAACAGGGGCCAGCGCTCTGGTGCAATGGCCAAGCTGTCGCCTACGTCGCCAGCATATGAGCAGTGGTTCAAGACCTGGAAGAAGCTCCTGGCTCCTGGCTGCTGCCTGGCGCAGTCTGCCTGACGCTTCCATTTGGAAAGTGAACCAGTGGGTCGAAAATCTCTGTCTTCCTTTCTCTTTGTGTAACTGCATTTCAAATGAACAAATCTCTTTTTTTAAAAATTCATTTATTTTTATTGCAAAGTTAGACATACAGAGAGGAGAAGAGACAGAGAGGAAGATCTTCTGTCTGCTGATTCACTCCCCAAGTGGCCACAACAGCCAGAGTTGAGCCTATCTGAAGCCAGGAGCCAGGATCCTCTTCCGGATCTGCTATGCAGGTATAGGGTCCCAAGGCTTTGGGCCGTCCTCGACTGCTTTCCCAGGCCACAAACAGGGAGCTGGATGGGAAGCTGGGCCACCAGAATTAGAACTGGTGCCCATATGGGATCGTGATGCATGCAAGGTAAGGACTTAAGCTGGGCCCTCACATAAATAAATCTTTTTTAAAAAAAAGAATCTTTTGCCTTAACCTTTGTAAGTTAGTCTATTACTTATTATCCCTCAATGTTAAAAAAAAAATTCACACACAAACAAAACAGAATAAAAACTAAGGGGGCAGAGATCCACCCTCACACGTTTTAAGGACGTGGTGATGTCACTGTGCCTCAGATGGGAGAGCATTCCTCTGTCCCCATGTGGCAGGGTCAACAGAGCAGGAAAGGCGAGTCTGCTAGCCAGAGGAAAGACGGGCAGGGTCGCCCTGTGCCAGGCTGAGCCGACAGGGACGCTGGCTGGGGTGTGCAGCGCTCATCTCTCCTCCCTTCCCCACCTTCCACCTTACCTGTTGTTGGTAGAAGTTGTTGGCACATTGTTCAAACCGTTCATCCCTGGTTTCCACAGTCTTCCCCAATTTCTGCAGTACCTGGGGCACGAGAGAGAAAGGCCCCATCAAGTGACAGTCGAGTGTCTCCCGCCCAAGCACAGCCCTCTCGCCTCCTGGATGACTCCCCCAGTGCCCGCAGCAGCTAGGGTGGGGCCAGGCTGAACCCATAAACTGAGAAGCCAACCTGGTTCTCCCACCTAGGTGTAAGGACCCCACCGCCAGCTGCCCCCCGGGGTGCGCTAGCAGGAAGCTGGAATTGGAAGCAGACCTGAGGCATGAACTTGGGTACTCTTCCTGGAAATGCAGCCATCAGGAAGCAATTGTCTCGGGCCTGACTGGGCCTGACGCTGTGGCCTAGCCGCTGAAGTCCTCACTTTGCACGCCGGGATTTTATATGGGTGCCGGTTCTAATCCCGGGAGCTTTGCTTCCCATCCAGCTCCCTGCTTGTGGCCTGGGAAAGCAGTCAAGGACAGCCCAAAGCCTTAGGACCCTGCACCTGTGTGGGAGACCTGGAAAAGGCTCCGGACCCCTGGCTTCAGATTGGTTCATTTCCGGCCATTAAAGCCACCTGGCGAATGAATCATCGGATGGAAGATTCTCCTCTCTGACACTCCTCCTCTCTGTATGTATGACTTTACAACAAAAATAATATAAAATAGAAAGCAATTGTCTCTGTACTTGGATTCTTGCCACCCACCTGGGAAACCCTGATTGGGCCTGGCCCAGTTCCAGCAGTGGGCATTTGGACAGCAAAGTGGCAGGCAGAAGAGCAACCTCTTCCATTACCTTTTAAATAAACAAATAAAGTTTTTTTTTTTTTTAAGGGCATATTCCTATTCACTCAGTGGAATTGGCAATGTAACGGGTTGCTAAAAGAGTCTCACGGTTCTTGGGAGAACTCCGGGACACAGCGGGCTAAGGAAGAGAGTGTGGTACACATCTCAGGAAGAAGCAGGGCGAGCCTGGCCAGGATCTCTCTGCTGTCAAAGTGGCGGGCTGTGTGCGGGGTAGGTGTACACGGTCATAGTAAAACGATGACTAACAAAAAGAATGGAACATACGTAGAGCTTAAAGCTAAAACATGAACCTGGAAGACATTTCACTTGAGACCTCTTCCGGGCACAGATTCCTCTAAACAGATGGAGGGAAACAGTAAGCATGGAATTCTCTCATGACTCTGGAAAACTAGCAGAGGTCTCGATTCAATACATTTGAAACTCAGGTGGAAATAAGAGTTAGTCCATGTCTATCACTTCTCAGCTCAGTAACCCGAGCACCAACTACCACACTTGTCTCGGTGCGAATAAAGAGACTGCGGTGACAAAGTGAGCTGTGTTCTTCTCAGAGCAGACACTCCCCCAAGCAGCAGCTCAGTGCAGGGGGTCACACAGTCCTGTGTCTCCCTATAACTCCCCCCAAGCCAAGCTGAACCTCTGCAGCTGCCCGCAGCTTCTTCCCTCTCGCCTTTTCTTTTTTTGAAAGGTTTATTTTCTTTCTTTCTTTTAGGTGAGATTTATTTAATTTTTTTTAAAGATTTATTTTATTTTTATTGGTAAGTCAGACATACAGAGAGAAAGAAAGAGAAGATCATCTTCCGTCTGACAATTCACTCCCCAAGAGGCTGCAATGGCCGGAGCTGAGCTGACCCGAAGCCAGGAGCCAGGAGCTCTTCCAGGTTTCCCACATGGGTGCAGGGTCCCGAGGCTTTGGGCCATCCTCAACTCTTCCCCAGGCCACAAGCAGGGAGCTGGATGGGAAGCTGGGCTGCCGGGATGAGTACCGGCGTCCATATGTGATCCTGGGAGTGCGAGGCAAGGACTTTAACCACTACACTATCGCACCGGGCCAGATTTATTTAATTTTTATTGAAAAGGAAGATATACAGAGAGGAAGATCTTCCATCCAATGACCACTCTGCAAGTGACTATAATGGCCAGAGCTGAGCTGATCCAAAGCTAGGAGTCAGGAACCTCTTCCAGGTCTCCCACGTGGGTGCAGGGTCCCAAGGCTTTGGGCCATCCTCGACTGCTTTCCCAGGCCACAAGCAGGGAGCTGGATGGGAACGGGGCCACTGGGACACAAACTGGCGCCCATATGGGATCCCAGCGCATGCAAGGCGAGGACTTTAGCTGCTACACTGTTGTGCCAGGCCACCCCTCTCACCTTCTTCATTATGGCCCTCTCATGCCTATCTTGGAAACCACCTGTGCTCTCCTCTCACCATGCCCTCAGTCCTGCCTCTCATTCTTTTCCACCTGCCACAATAGTTCTGCCTAAAAGCTACTAATGGTTCCCCGTTAATCTGCAACTCATTTCTATTAAATGTTCATTATCGGGCCCAGCACTATGATTCAGTTGCTAAATGCTCGCCTTGCATGCCCTGGGATCCCATATGGGCACCAGCTCACATCTCAACTGCTCCGCTTCCCATCCAGCTCCCTGTTTGAGGCCTGGGAAAGCAGTCGAGGATGGCCCAAAGCCTTGGGACCCTGTATCCACGGGGAGACCTGGAGGAGATTCCAGGCTCCTGGCCTCTGATCACCTTAGCTATGGCTTAGGGAGTGAACCAGTAGATGGAAGATCCTTCTGTCTGTCCTCTCTTTAAATCTGCCTTTCCAATAATAATACATAAATATTTAAAAATTTTTCGTTACATACCTGTGAGTAATAATTTGAACACTAGCCTGCACCCAGGTCCTATGACCCGACCCTTCATGAAGCCCTCCTCCCTACAGAGCACCCTGCTGGATACTTCCCAGTTTCCTCACATACCACACTATTTGCCTGTCATATATGCTGGTCTTCCTTTCCAGAATCTTCTTCCCCACCTGTCTTCCAAGCAATTATGTATTTTTTAAAAAATGTTCCTACTCCATATCCTTTGTGATACTTAACCACATCTATTTCATTCTCCTGAGTGAGTTATTCCTTATGAAGGAATATCACTATTTCATTATTTCTTTTTTTTATGTCTCCAAACTGTGAGCTCATTCGGGACTCCCCTGCTAAGATTTTTCAATATCCAGCACAGATGCTTACCAGGAAGGAGTGGCTGTTGCAGGAAGGAGAACCTAGACTAGCCCCTCAGGCAGCATTTCACTAACGTGGTTAGAGTATAAAGCGTAAAGGTGAAAGGACAATTAAAGGCAACGACAATGACATCAGCAAAAGCACCAGCCATGCAACTGTCAGGAGACTTCACGGGACGGGTGGGCGTGGCTAGGTGAGGGCGTGTTACAAGCAATGGTGGGGACTGAAACTAGAAAGGAAAATTGGTGTCTTCTTTTTAAAAAAGATTTATTTATTTTTATTTGAAAGGCAGAGCTACACAGAGGAGACACAGAGATCTTCTATCTGCTGGTTAACTCTGCTAACGGCTGCAACAGCTACAGCTGGGCTGGTCCGCAGCCAGGAGCCAGGACCTGCTGGGTCTTCCATGTGGGTGCAAGGGCCCAGGCGCTTGGGTCATCCTCTTCTCCTTTCTCAGTCCATCAGCAGGTTAAGATCTGGGGCTACTGGAGCAGCTGGGCCTCAACCTGGCACTCCTAAGGGATGCCCATGCCACAGTCAGGGGCTTAACTTTTTCTACTTTGGTGTCAGCCCGAGTCTTCTTATGGAGGGTGCTGGATTACCACAAAGTGCTCAAGTTGGGAAATTTGGGAGATTCCGTACAAAAACCCTAACCCAAGTTTTTCATTAAAAAAAAAAAAATTAAAATCAGGGGGTGGGGAGAAAGAAAGAGAGGGAGAGATAGAGAGACAAAGATCCATCTATTGGCTCACTCCCTAAATGCCCACAAGAGCCAGGCTGAAGCCGGGAGCCTGGAACTCTAGCCAAGTTTCCTTGGTGGGTAACGGAGACCCAAACACCTGGGCCTTCATCTGCTACGTTGGCAGGCACATTAGCAGGAAGATGGCTAGGAAGCGAAAGCAGTATTTCAATATGGGATGTGGGCACCCCAAGCAGCGACTTTATCAGTTATATCACAACATCTGCCCCAAGTGTCTCCCTTCCTAGATTAAGAACGGTTTAGAGCTGTGTGGTGGTTAGGATTCAGGGCTACTGGAACCAGAGGGATACTGGCTTTTACCTTGGCCTTCCCAGCCATCAGCTAAGTCTCCGGGTAAGTCACTTAAGCTCTACAGTATCAGTTTTCAGACTTCTTTTCCCTAATAAAATCACATCCCTCTCCTGGAGTTGCTGAAAGGATCAAATGATTTCAAGCATGTGAGCTGCTTGCCAGTGCGGCCGTCCAGTTAGCACTGAATGCACACATCACCATGTCTAATTTCATTCCCTTGCGTACGTGTGTTCCTATTTCCTTTCTGGTTTTGTGTTAGCAGCTGTCTCTAATTCCACCTCGCTCACTCAGGGTGCAGCTGGCCACCTTACCCAGCTCCCTCCTCTCCCCTCTAACAAAACACTGCCCTGCACCCAAAAGTTGCAAAAACCACCTTCTTTAGTGATAACTGCACCTCCTACTTCCTTTCCGCTGCCCCTCCCTTCCTCTGCTTCGGGCTTGGTTCTTCTTGGGTGCAGGGGGCAGAAAAGAGAAAGACAAAGCAGCCTAGAGTCAGCGTAGGGCGTGGCTGGCACAGAGCGGTCACCCAGTCCCCAGAAGGCTGGGGCTGGAAAGGACTGGAAGCTGTGAGGGTGTGTGCCAAGGGAATGTTTCCACCTTTAACTTTGAAAAGGTACGGCCATTTGTGGCCCTAAGCAACAGGTCCCTGTGCCAGGGTACTTACAGGGTGTTGTAGCTGTTCCTCCTTAAGGACACAGGAGGCTTTCAGGGGAACAGGGCACAACAAGTCTGCTTGTTGGAAGATTTCTTTCTTTTTATTTGAAAGGCAGAGTTTCTGAGGAGAGCTACAGAGAGACCTTCAGCTCCAACTGCTGGTTTACACAGTGGCCACATCTGGATGGAATGAAGCCAGCAGCGCGGAGCTTCCTCCAGGTCTCCCACGAGGGTGCAGGGTCCCAAGCCTTGGGCCGTCCTCAACTGCTTTCCCAGGCCACAGGCAGGGAGCTGGATGGGAAGCGGGGCTGCTGGGACATGAACTGACACCCAAATGAGGTCTTAGCACAGGCAAGGCAAGGATTTAGTTACTGAGCCATCGCACCAGGCCTTGATTAATTATTTTAACTTTCCTTCAGTTTGAGATGGGGGAAACTAAAGCCCTAAAAACAAAACAAAATCACAGCCTACATGTGTGGTGCTACAGACCCTTGGCATGACTTACCTCCATTTACTACATTTTTTTTTACTAAGTATTTGTTTTGTTTTGTTTTTAAAAATATTTATTTATTTGTATTGGAAAGTCAGATACACAGAGAGGAAGATCTTCTGTCTGATGATTCACTCCCCAAGCACCACAACGGCCAGTGCTACACCAATCCAAACCCAGGAACCCAAAGCCTCCTCCAGGTCTCCCATGCCAGTGCAGGGTCCCAAGGCTTTGGGTTGTCCTCAACTGCCTTCCCAGGCCACAAGCAGGGAGCTGGATGGGAAGCGGAGTTGCTGGAATTAGAACCAACTCCCATATGGGATCCCAATGCATTTAAGGTGAAGAATTTAGCTGCTAGGCTACGGCACCAGGCCCAAAATCTTTAGGATATATACCACAGTGGGATTTCCTTATCAGAGCCCTAATCTTTAGCTTTGGTCTTCTCAGCTCTGTTCCTCACTATCACACCTGAAAAGGCGTCCACACCTCTTGCCGTGCTCATGCTGCCACTCCTGGCAGGGAATGCTCTTGCCTAGGGAAGCACTCATCATCTCTAACCCCTAGTTCAAGTTCAGACCCCACCAAACCCCTCCCTGGACTCCCTTATCCTCATGTCCCCTTCAGTTCCCACAGATGCGTGCACTTCTCAGGTCACTTAGCTTTACCTTCAAAACGCTTCTGGCAGTTAAGACTGCCTCTAACTTTCCTCCTGTGTCCAACCCAATACCTTGAACAAGGAGGTTTTTTTTTTTAAATAGATATCTAGATATCTATTTATCTAGATAAAATTTTCTGGAATACAGATTTAGTAAAAGTCAACAGTGGAAAAGACCCACACAGGAATGCTAAACCATGAGCTCGCGGGGGCGGGGAGGACACAGCTAACAGTGGGTCACACAGATATCACACACAGATGGTGTAAGAGCAGCTATCGAATGCTATAACACAGTACAGCCCGCTCAGCCAGCCTCGTGCCGCGTTTGGGTGGGAACTGGACAACAGGAGCAGACTATTTCATCTTTGCTGTGTGTGACAGTCACCAGAGCTTCACTCCAGCTTTTCAGGGGAACCCGGTGTTTTCTATTCTTAACTCAGCTCCTTTTCAGCCCAGCAGGAAGTGGGGAGGCCCAGCTGTCGGAGGCTTATCGCGCGGTGCTAAAGGGAGTGGCCTGAGGTTAGGACACAAAGGCAGAACACCTGGGTTTCAGTAAGAGTTCTGCCACTCTTAAAACTCTTAGAAACCCGTTTCCTTGTTTCTAAAACTGGGATACTAACAGCTCCCTCAGAGGACCGAAGAGATGAAGAGATCGGGAGATGGGCATGGCCTTGCTGGAGGGAGCCTGCAGGTGGAGCCTGCGGGCCCAGAAGCCGCACTTGACACCTGACACATTAGCCATTATATGTTACTCTGAGGATTACATCCAAGTCAACTCACCCGTTCCACAAAATGCTTTTAGTGCAGCTTTCTCCCTCAGTATAGCCTGCCCTCAGCAGCTTCAGTACCCTCTCAAGACTGCAGGCCGCTGGTTCCAGACGGACTGTGCTAAGCTCCCTCCCGTAATAATTAGCCATGCCCACCTTAGGCAGCAGCACCATTGCTTCTGCGTGCTGGTTGTCCCGCTCCAGGCTCCTGAGTCCCTGACCCCACGTGACTTGCTGCACCGGCCTCAGAGTCCCCAGGAGCAAATCTGAACTTGTTTCTCTCACTGTACCTCAGCTGCTACCCAGCTGAGTGCTCCTTTTGGGAAATTTTGTTTCTGGGGTTCAAGAAGTTTTCTTCCCTTTCAACGTGGTGTCTTCATCATCTGAACCCCAAAGGACAACATTACTATATAGGGTTTTTTTTTTTTTTAAGATTCAGTTTTATTTAAAAGGCTGAACTACAGAAAGAAGGAGAGACACAGAGAGAGAGGTCTTCTATCCACTAGTTCATTTTCCAAATGGCTGCAATGGCTGAAGTGAGCTGATCCAAAACCAGGAGCCAGGAACTTCTTCCAGATCTCCCATGGAGGTTCAGGGGCCTAAGGACTTGAGCCATCCTCCACTGCTTTTCCAAGTCATAAGCAGGGAGCTGGACTGGAGGTGAAGCAGTAGGGGAAAGAATTGGTGTTCATACAGGACAGCAGTGCTGTTGGCAGGAGCTTGGCCTACCACACCATGGCACTAGCTTCTTATCTCAAGTTTAAAGTACATGCTTAAAAAGGAGATAAAATGGGCCCAGCAAGGTAGCATAGCAGGTGAAGTCCTCACCTTGCACTTGTTGGGATCCCATATGGGCGCCGGTTCATGTGCTGGCAGCCCCACTTCCCATCCAGCTCCCTGCTTATAGTCTGGAAAAGCAGTCCAGGACAGCCCAAAGCCTTGGGCCCCTGCACCTGTGTGGGAGACCTGGAAGAGGATCCAGGCTCCTGACTTTGGATCAGTTCAGCTCTAGCCATTGTGGCCACTCGGGGAGTGAATCATCGGAGGGAAGATCTTTCTCTCTCTCTCTTCCTCCTCCTTTCTGTAAATTTGAGCTTCCAATACAAATAAACTAATCTTTTTTAAAAGGACAGACAAAGTCTAAAGTAACAGCATGGTGTTGATGACTGCATGGGGAGGGGGAATGAGGCAAAACCAACTGCTCAGTTTTTTTTAAAGCGATTGTTATCATTCAGGGGCTCTGTTTTGCATTAGCAGGTTAAGCCACCACCTGTGATGCTGGTATCCCTGGTCCTCTGCTTCCAACTCAACTTCCTGCTAATACCCCAGAAAAAGCAGTGACAGGTGGCCCAAGCACAAGGGCCCCAGCTACCCTTGTGGGAGACCAGGATGAAATTCCTGGCTCCTGGCTTTGTATCCTGGCTCAGCTCTGGCTATGGTAGTCATTTGGGAAGCGAACCAACAGAAGGGAGATCTGCCTGTCTCCCTCTCTGACAATCTGCTTTCAAATAAATCTTTTTTAAAGAGGTTATTACCCTTTATGACTTTGTTTTTGAGGGCTTCTGCTTTACTTTCTCAGCCACAGTGGTATCCTTAATTGTCTAGAACCTCTTTTCCCATGCTGGTCCTCCCCAAGGTACCTTCATCAGACTCACTGCTCTCAGACCCATCAGAGAAGTGACTGAGTCTTCAGAGACTGAATCCATGATCAAGGTCAAATTCAGGTAACTAAAATGACCAAGCATGCTGGCACAAAATCTTTTCCTCCTTTCCTATAACTCCCCTGTGAAAAATACAAGACACTGCGCACCCCTGCCCCCACATCGTTGCCTCTTAAAGTCAAGGACCACATTTACATCACATCAGTCCTTATTCCATTAGAGCCGAGTGCCCGTATCTTTTCCCAGGGCCCAACCACTTCTCCATGTTCAGACGCAAACATTTCAACTCTTTCAGCAGCCTTTGTTCCTGCAAACAATTCAAAGACCACGAACCCTTAGAAAGCCAAAACCTATTTTAAGCCTTTTTTTTTTTTAACTTCTGCCTCCCTGTCTCTCTTCCTTCTGGCTTAGGAGACGTCCCACGCACCTTGCCATCTAGGGTGTGGGTAGGCAGAGAGCAGATTCTGGTTAGATATCAAGAAGACACTGGACAGGTAGAAATTAAAGTGCCGTGCATACGTGCGAACAAGGACGGATGTTTGGCCCAGTGCTTCATGCCCCTGGGGCTGCCCACTGAGTGCCTGCCTGAGTCCGAATAGCAGCCACAGGCCTGCCGGCGGAGCTGGAAAAAAGACCCACGCGGGGAAGCTCTGGTCCTTGGTGGCCACCTAGTCCACCAGCTGCACCAGCGCTGGTCACGGCCGCTCAGTCCCTGCGGGCAATGCCTCCCCGACCTTGATCACCTCTAACCTGTCATCGCGGCTCCTCTGCCAGGACTGCACCTCCTGCACCCGCTCGTCTTGGTCCTCTCACCCTCTGGCCATTTCGAAGGTCCTCGAAGGTTCCTCCGAGAAGCTGCCGTCCCACCCGGCCACGGATCGGTGGCGACCCTTCCAGAATTCTCCTTCAGGGAAAACCCAACTTGGGGCTCCATGGTGCCCCAACGGAGCCCCCTCGCTTACCTTCTCCTGCGCCCTGCTGAACTTCTTCTGCACTTGCTTGGCGAAGAGGCCCGCGGCGCCGCCCGCCTTGCCCTCGGCCATCCTGCCGGCTCCCCAGGGGCCGCAGCGGGCCTGTGGTTTTCTGAGGCCCCTGAGGAGGAAGTGCGGCTCCCGGCATGCCCGGCTTCCGGTGCGCGGCGCGTGAGCCCGCCCCGCGCAGGGCCCCTGGGGCGGCCGGCCGTGTGCAGGGCCCCTCGGGGCGGCCGGGCCGGCTGCTGCCGGCTCGGGCCTGTGGGACACGACGTGGCGGCCTGGGAATGCTCAGGCCTGCCGGACGTGACATGGCTCCCGTGGACGGCCTGGCCTGCCCTCAGGCGACGCTCGCTCCAGGCCTGGGTGTGGACCCGGTGCAGTCCAGGGCGTTACTTCTAGAGTGAGGCTCGGCCCCAGGAAAGTCCTAGGAGCCGCGGAGCAGACACCGTGGGCTCCACCATTGGGCAAGGGTCTTAGTGGAAAGGGACAGTGTGGCTTCAAAGATACAGGAAGCCTGGAATGGCTGGGTGGAGCGCAGACAGGGGAACAGGTTTGGATTCAGAACCTCCTGAGCGATGGTGTACTAGGTTAATTC